TACATGGACGAAGAAGATTCTTAAGAAGCTATTGTATTCCGTATTGCTCAAGAGAGTAATACTGAACCGTTCTTGAACAAGAGTTATCAAAATGTAATGAGTACTGCAGTAATCCGAAGATTCCAAAGTATACAAAGGGTTTATGCTAACAAGAGCGGTACTAAGTACAGGCCTTGAATACGGAAATACAACTGGAATAACTGTGCAAGTATTCACTGCCTTTGGAGCTATCAGAGTAGGAGAGTAATCTGATACTTAGATTAACAACTGAAGAGCTATATACTGAATCTATCTAATGGTAATGAACGTTTCTTTATATATTCAGCTCTTCAGTATGGCTCACCTTGGCTTACTATTGATTCCGGTGATTCAAGCTTACTGAATCATCTAATAATTCAGTGATTCATCTCTGTTATAATCCTAATCCTGAGTTATGTAACCAATGCTTAGTCAGAATGTTGAGTTCTTAATACCTGGTCCTTATTACTCGTAACCTGTTTGTGACCTGCATGTTGAATGAGTTATAACATTCAACCTCATCATCATCATACCCAGCTTCCTTAATACAGCGCTTCTTTGCTTTACCAGCGTTTATCTAAGCTTGAACAGGCTCAATACTTACAGCATTGATGCTAGGAAGCTTTAGTAGGTATAGTTTAGCTTAAGCTAGAATAAGATATAACTTCCTTACTTGAATCTTATCAGCATTGCTAAGAATCTCAATATTGTTAGTTCTATATTGATTATTGCATCTAGAAATAGAGTTAGTCTCTTCTCATAATATCTTATTCTTAGCTATCTCAGAATCTTTATATCATTTCTCGTTCTCTTGAATCAGACTAACATATTAAGAGATTTAAGGATTCTTAATACTCTTTAGCTGCTAATTCTTATAGAAATCGAGAATCAGATGAATCATACTGCTTTTGAGATTATTTCGAGCAAATATAATCTAGCTATATAATACTATTTTTAACTTAGAATTCAGAAATTCTAAACGATTGCTAAAATGCTACTCTAGCTTTGCTAATGCTGAAGCATAGCAAATGCTATAGTTTATAATAGTATGGAATTCTATACATTCATAAGCTCTATGAGACTTCAATCTACAGCTGTAGCATCTATATAGAGTTTCATCCTTTTTCAGGATTTTATTAATCTCCGCTTGCTATGCTTCAGAGTACTGCTTACCCTTGTTCTCCGAACTTGTATAGATAATATCTATCTATAAGGAATTTGCATTTCTCTGGAAAGGATTTCTTGCAGAAATAGTTTAGAAATGCTTGATTAGTTATAAGATTTTCTATAAAGCTTTAGTTTGATTATATAAGATATTCTGTATTTGTTTAAGAACATTAGTCTGCAGCTTTAAGGATTTTGCTATTGCAATTTAATTAATACGGAGTTGCTTTATTATTAAAGCTAATTAGTTATATTCTTGGTTGCTTTTCTAAGCAGATTCAGCTTTCAAGATCTGCTTAATTAGTTCAGACTAAGCTTGCTAATTACAAGTTAATTATTGAAGCAGTTAATAGTATAATAGCTTTATTGCTTGTTCTGATGAGTTCATCGGTTAACTGAGAGCATTATGCATTGGATATGGAATAGAAACAAGCTATATCTGGTTAAGAACTAGCTGAGATGGAAGCATAGAAGAACTTTGGAATTGAGCCTGTTAATGAAGTTGAAGGTTAGTAGTACTGGAAGCAAGTTAGTCTTGAGTCTCCTTCTGAAGTGCTTTATGATGAACTTTTAACAGCTTTTCCATAAGATAAGGCTACTTCTTGTTGCTAATGCTTTCAGCAGTAATACTATGATTAGCTCGGAAGCGCTTAATCCAGATTGAAGAAAGCTTTATTCATACTTCTGCTACAGATTAACTATTTCTAATCTTAAGACGAATAAGAGCATTATTATAGTTTATAATGAATAATTAAAAGCTAGCAGCATTAGTAATGAAACGGTTATTAATAATATTCAAGCGCTCCTGCTTGAAAATATACGCCTGAAGATTGTCAGGACTTGTATGCGCACAAAGGAAATAAGTGGCCCTTGCGACCCCTGGTGGCAGTCCAGAGCTGCTGCGAGAGCTTCGCTCCGAAGCAGCGCTCTCGTACGATGCTGTATAGCCATCAGGCCATTATCATCCTATCTAGTCCAGGCCAATTGTGTATATAAGGGAAAGGGGAACAACAGGTCCAGCAGCGAAAAAGAGAAGGAGAGAGATAGATTCAGTAGTTCCTTTGAATGGAAGCATTAACAGAGCAGCTTGGGAGCAGCTCATACCCCTTCATCTCACTTGTATGCTCTTTTTACTCTGATAAGTCTAAATCTTCTATTCTTTTCCGGGAAGTGAGCTATTGGGGATGAGAATGGCTTCAGTTATACGAAGTGGCAGCGCCGCTCCAGAGCAACAACTACAATGAGCTAGCAACTCTGATTCCTCACAGACTCTAAGCTAACTCTCCTCTTAGACTCTCCTTCCAAGCTCGAATCTAGGCTCAGCCTATGAGAACTTCTTGCTTGAAGCACTAGCAGATATAGCTGGGTTGCAATGCTAGGAATGTAAGCTCGATTGTTAGTTGAAAGAAGAGGAGATATAGCAGCGGCTGAGGAGCAAGTATGCTCGCTTAACACTACTCCAGAGCAGCGATACCAGCTCGGAGCTTCAGCTAGCTAGCCTCAGCTCTCTCAGCACCCCTTCTATGCCAATCCCTTCAGAAGCATCCTCAACAGCGCTTGTACAGCTATATTGCAGCTTGCTAGCTCTTATATACAAGGGAGAATTATATATAGAGTTGAAAACATTCTTATACAATCTGCAATATTATTTCAATATCTGCTGCTTAACTAATAAAGCGGATAAGATGGAATATATAGTATGCTGCTTGAAAAATAATCCTAAGCAGAACTGGATTAATTATGTTGCTTGCTAGGAGAAGGAATAGTATAAGCTTATTTCTATTACCTTTGAAGAACTTGAGTTCTTTCTAGAGAACTAGTTAGCTGATCCCACTATCTATGCTATTACTGCTGCAGCAATGCTTGCAAGTATTGCTTAAAGTAAGAGCAAATCAGTAATAAGCTTTGTATGCTGATATTAGAAAGCAAAGCTTGAATCTTTCCATTCTGATACTGAGCAATACTGCATAATAGCTATTCTTATACGCTTCAGATCAGAGATTCGTATTGCTATTAGTACGCAGATAATGCTTCTGAGCAGCTGAAATGCTTTGATTAGCTTAGTATAATATATCGAATCTACTTAAAAAACGGTTACTAATTCTTAATCTGCTATCAAAACGCTTCTAAGCAGCAGCTTAGGAACTGCTACTCCTTTATATTGTGGCTGTTATAGCTATAGCAAGCCAGGCTATATAGCAAGGAATTGTACAGCTTTGCATAGTTCTCAGGCACTTCTTCTTATGAGCACTCAAGCTTCATTAATGCATCCTCAGACAGTTAATAATAACTTTGCCTGCTGTTATAACTGTTAAAAGATAAGCTATTTTGCTAATCTATGCTTGGAGCCTTAACGAAACATCTGTTACATCTGCAATAAGCTAAGCTACTATAGTTTCAGTTGCTTAGAAGCAGAATATTGGATTTGCAGAAAGAAGAAGCATACAGCAAATAGCTGCAAGCAGGCTAACAAGATAGCAATAGCCATGCAACAGAGCTGAGGAGATGCTGAGCAGAAGCCTTGCTAGCTTATCATTCATGCAAAGCTGTTGCTCGGAAACAAAAGGAAGCATATATATAAATTAGTTAACTCGGGAGCAGAGGAGAACCTGATTGATCGCTGCTTAGCCGAAGCTCTGGCGCAGAACTAATCTTTTAAAGCATACTTCAAGCTCATCTCAATTAATTAGAAAGCTATTATTATATACAGCAGCTGCTCTATTAATATAAAGATTATAAATAGCTTAGAAACATTTAGAAAGTAGCGCTATTGCTTTATAATAGCAGATATTAGCTAGCTTAGCTTGATTCTGGAGTTCTTATAGCTTGAGATTATTAACTCAGTAATATGATAGGATATGAAGCAATGAAGATTTCTCCTTCAGCGCTTCCAGATTCAGCTCTGCATTATAGCGAAAGGGCTTGAGAGAGCAAGAGTTGCTTTTGCAGCATATTACTATCCAAGCTTATCAAATCTATCTCTCGAGGCTGAGCTAGAAGATGCAGTGCTAGAGCTGCATCTGCTTTCTAAGTATTGCAACTTTATCAATCTATGCATGAAGGAAGCATTAAAGTTGCTTGCATTCTATACTGATATTAATCATTGCATCAAGCTTGAAGAGGAAGCAAGACTGCTCTGAAGGCTCTTGTATGCTCTCTCTGCAGCTGAACTAGAAGTGCTTAAGAAATATTTGGAAGAAATGCTAGCTAAGGAATGAATTCAATCCTTGATCAGCTCTGCTAGCGCACCTATACTATTCGTACTAAAGAAAGGAAGCAAGCTGCGCTTCTGCATGAATTATAGAGCGCTGAATTGAATTATATGCAAGAACTGCACTCCGTTGCCTTTAATTGCTGAGATTCTCGATTAACTGAGCTATATACAAATCTATACTAAGCTTAATCTTAAGAATGCATACTATCAGCTCTGAATTCATAAAGGAAACGAGTAGAAGATTACCTTTTATACGAAATATAGCTATTTCGAATACTATATTCTGCTCTTTAGTCTTACTAATGCTTCAGCTATATTTCAAGCATATATCAACAAAGCGCTAGCAGACTTAGTAAATATAATCTGTATCGTTTATCTGAATAATATCCTAATCTACAGTAATAATGCTAAGCAGCATATAAGCTATATTTAAGAAGTTTTGAAGCAGCTATAGCAATAAAAGCTATATCTTAACCTGAGAAAATGCAAGTTCAATATATAACAGATAGAATTCCTAAGCTTTATAGTATTCTCAGAAGAAATCAGTATGAATAAGAAGCATATTATAGCTATTATACAATAGCTGCTTCTATATACTATTTGCAATATTCAGATATTTCTTAAATTTACTAAATTCTACTATCGATTTATACAGAACTACTCCAAGATTGCTATATTATTAATCAATCTTTTGCAAAGCAGCAGCATAGGCATAATTATGCTCTCGAACTGCATTCGAGTAGCTTTCAAAACTCTAATCATACTCTTTATAATAGCTTCATTGCTATGCTATTATAATGCTGCATTATTAACAAGAGTTGAAACGAATGCTTCTGCTTTCGCTATAAGAGCTGTGCTAGCTTAGCTATTTCAAAGCTGCTAGCATTCAATTATCTTTTATTCAAAGAAGCTCTTTTCAATAGAAATACAGTATAGTATAGAGAATATCGAGCTATTAGCTATTGTAAACGCTATATCAAACTAGCAGCATTATTTATTATATCTGCTTAAGCTTATATTCATTCTTATAGATTATCTCAACTTGCAGTATTAGAAGACTAAATAGAAGCTATCTGCTTGCTAGTTGCACTAGCTAAACGATTTCAGTATATATAATCTCATTATCCAGTACTATCCCAGCAAGTTTAACCCAGCTAATGAGTTATCTAAGCAGCTAAATTATTAGGGAGAAGAGAAAGCTGAGCAGAAGCTACAAAGCCTTAGCAATTTCATTATAATGAAGAATCTAAAGAATCAGAAAGAACCTTATATTGATTATATTCGAAGAGTAAGAGTAGAGCAAGCAGCAGATCTGAATATCTTCTGTTTTCGAGTATGCGCTCTTCGCTATTTGAGCAAGAGCGCAGAGTTTAAGCAGATAGCAGATCTGAATATCTCCTATTTTCAAGAGTACGCTCTTTGCTATTCGAGCGAAAGCGCAAAGTTAAAGCGGAATATCTGCTTAGCAACTAATGTTGCTTGGATATCGAATTGCAAACTGATCACTTTTCTATATCTAGCAGTAGAGCAAAGCATAGCAATAATGCTGGAGCAGCTTGCAGAGCTAATGAGAGCATATCTGCTATAACTGCAATAAGAAGATGTTTTTATTCAGATGGAAGCTTGGTGCAAGAGGCGAATATGCAGCTCTACAGCTGATATAGAGCTATAGCAAGTTATTAAGAGCTTGCTATATTTCAGAGAATGTATATTTGTGCTAAACTATTCATTAACTCGCAAGAAGCTTTTGAAAGCATATTATAATAATTCAATAGCTAGCTATCTCAGTATAGCTAAGTTTATTAAAATGATTTCTCATTATTATTATTAGAATGCATTAGCTAAGAATATGAAGAAGCATATTAATATGTATATAGTATACTAGCAAATAAAAACGAGGAAACAATGCTTATATAGCCTGCTTAGTTTCTTATTACTAGCAACTTGCTTATAAGCTAAGATATTAATAGACTTTATTACTAATCTGCTCAGATTTATCAGTTTCTATAATAAAGCTTACAATACTATTCTGATAATCATTAATAAATACTTGAAATATACTCTATATATTCTAATAATAATATAGCTTATAAGCAGCAGCTTAGTAGATATTATGCTATAATATATATATCAGTTCTATAGCATTCCTGAAAGCATTATATTAGATAGAGAAAGCTTCTTTACAAGCTACTTCTAAACTAACTTCTGCTTCTATCTAGAAACCAAGCAGCGCCTAAGTACTGCATTTCACTCCCAAATAGATAAATAGACTAAGCAGCAGAACTAGAATCTCGAACAATACCTCCATACTTATTACAGCCTTTCTCAAGCAGATTGGATGTAGCGCTTATTTCTTGTACAAGCAGTATATAATAGCATAGACTATAGCAGAACAGAATTATCATCTGCTATATTGCTTTATAAATTCCAACTAATAAAACTAATAGATATTAATATGCAGCGCTTAAGCTATATTTCTAAGATCTTAGAGTAGCTCGAAGATCTTACTAAAGCTTATAAGAAAGCTTAGAAAAGCTTCAATTATGCAAGATAAGCATATATCAGATAGTATAATAAATGCTATATTAATAAAAGATTTTCTTTTAGCAATCTTATTCTTATCTTAGCTAAGCATTTATGCTAAAAAAATATTAATAATAAACTAGCAAATAAATATCTTAGCTCTTTTTGAGTACTGGAGATTGTAGGAGTGTATGAATTAGCATACAAGCTTGAATTGCTAGCGAAATATAAGATCTATAATATCTTTTCAATTGTAGCTCTGAAGAACTTCAATAAACAAGATAAAGAAGAGCTTGAGATGCATCCTAATATCAATCTCGAGGAAGAAGTGCATTGAAAGGTAGAAGCTATTCTAGCATACTGAGAGCTATCTAGAAACTACTAATTTCTTATACATTAGAAGGAATATAGCAGCAATAAGAATTTATAGAAACTACAGGCATTTATTGATAATGGATTATTGATTAAAGAATACAAAGCATAATTAAAGCGGTAATAATATAGCGCAGAAGCTGTTTGATTTTTAATTGGAAAACTAAAAATCCTTATATAGCTTATCTATCCGAGAAGTTAGCAATATTCCTGCATTGTAGCAATCAGTGCTAGTTATTTCCCATACTATAAAAGCATACTTACCTATTCAGAGTTTTTAAAGAGATTATTCTCTCTCTTCGAAAGCTGCTTCAGAAAGCTTGCAAGCTGCTTCAGCTAGCATCTTCAGAGCGCTGATACTGCGCTAAAGCAGCAATATCAACTCCCCGCTCATAACAGAAGCAGGAGATGCGCTGATTACTGGCGCAGGAGCAGCGCTTACAGAGCGCATCAGCTAGAGAACATCCTGCAAATTCTCATCAGTCAGCTCTCGATCAAAGAAGCAAGCATTATTCAGAGCTAAATCCGCCTTATAAGGAAGCTATAGTAGCTTGTAAGCAGCATGAAAAACAAGAGAAAGCAGAGATAATACTACTTATAAGCTAGCAGAAGTGGTTGCTGCGAGCATACTGAAAACAATAAGTATTGAAGCTTATAATGAATCAATATGAGAATTTGTAAAGCAAGGAAACTAGCGCATCTGATTAATCCCAGCATCAGATCTTAGGCTTCTGAATGCAGCAATGTATGCACTCCTGGTATCAGCTAGCAGGGGGATGCATCGCACTCAGTTTCTTGGGGATCTTCTTCCTCTTAATAGCTTAGTAATATCAGCGCGGCGCTGTATACATGATATATATAAGTACTTACGGAAGCTGTGGGAGTAACAGGAGGCGGGGCCTTCGGAGCAGGAGTTTCGAGAGACTCGAGGGGAGGCGAGAGAGAGGGCGAGGGCGAGAGAGAGGCCTTCTTGCGCTTCTTGCTAGCAGGAGCCTTGCAGCCACTATACCAACCGCTGCAGCAGCTATGAGAGGGAGAGGATGCGGGAGCAGCGGGGGCGCTCGAGGGCAGAGGGTGGCGAGGAGGGGGCACCGCATCAACAGCGCTGGAGGAGGCATTGCTAGCCTCCGAGGCTTCAGAAGCAGTCTGATTCTCAGAGATCTTAGAAGCTGATGCAGCTTTCCCAGATGCATTAATAGCAATAAAAGAAGATATCTGTAATGAATTAGCTTTTATATGATGCTTTAGAGAATAGGGATATACATATTATGCTGTTGCTGCTATTGTTGTTATTATTGCTGCTGCTGCTGCTGCTATAATAGCTGAGAAAAGAGAAAACAGAAAGAGAGGAGGATTCAGGCATGAAAGCGAAATAAGAAACAATAGTGCCCCACTAGCGCATGCATCTCAGGCAACCCTATTATTTAGCTCTAGAAGCTATTCCGAGATTGCAGTAGCATAAACAATTGCGCCAAGCTGTACAGTCTTCGTAACAACACTGCACCTGCGCTGCACTAGCGCTAAAGCAATCTTCATAATATTATATAACTTATCAGCGAAGGGAAACTTAGCTTTCTAGAGCGAGGCATCTCAATAACAAGAACCAACTGATGAGAGAACTATTAATAAGTATGAAGAGATCTGTAGATCCGTGCAAGAGCAGCTCGGATACATAGTTCCTGGGAATAGGAATCTGGAAGAAAAAGGATTCTATCAGAGCTTGTATGCATACAAAGAAAATAGGTAGCCCTTGCAATCTCTGGTAGCAATTTAGAGCTGCTGCAAGAGCTTCGCTCCGAAGTAGCGCTCTCATACGATGCTGCATAGCTATCAAGCCATTGTTATCCCATCTAGTCCAGGCTAATTATATATATAAGGGAAAGGGGAATAACAGATCCAGCAGCGAAAAAGAGAAGGAGGGAGATAGATTCAGTAGTCCCTTTGAATGGAAGCATCAACAGAGCAGCTTGGGAGCAGCTCACACCCCTTCACCTCACTTGTGTGCCCTTTTTACCCTGACAATAATCAAGAATATTTAAGGATTATAAGCAACTTTTCAAAAAAGTTGAATAGCTCAGAAATTAACTATGAAATTCCTAATCAGAAACTCATAGCGATAGTGAAAGCTTTTGAGGAATAGCAATACTACCTCATTAGCGCATAGCATTCAATTACAGTTCACTCGGATTACAAGAATCTAACTATATTTATAATAACCAAGATTTTGAACAAGCAACAAATTAGATAAGCAGAATTTCTCTTATAATTCGATTTCAGAATCATGCATTACAAAAGCTTGGAGAACGAACAAGCAGATGCTCTTAGTAGAAGATCAGATTATCGAAATACAGATTCCTCAGATATACAGAACATCTTTGCCCAAGATAAATTAGAAAATCTTGTTAATGTATATAAAGAGCTGAATATTATTCTTAGAATCAAACTCTCGGAAAAGAATTCAGAATCGATAACTTCAAATAAACAAAACAATTATATTAAGAATATATATAATATATCAGCGCATGAATACCAGAGAATCAGAGCAATCTACAAATGCATTAGAAGATACTGGAATCTACTAAGCTTCAGAAACAGAATTGAGAGCATTCTATAATAATACAACAGCTGCAAAAAGAATAAAGCAAAGAAATATAAGCTTTATAAACTATTGCACTTCTTACTAGTATCTATAATCATTTAGCAATTTATTAATCTAGACTTCATTACTAAGCTATCTTTCCTATGAGAACTCTTAACTAAGATGCAATATAATAATATTCTAGTAGTGATTTGCAAACTGAGCAAGTATGCTTACTTTCTCTCTTATAAGGAAAGTAGTATAGCAGAAGAACTTGTATATGCATTCCTTAGAACGATTATTGCTAATTATATTATGCTAGAAGAAGTAATTTCTGATAGAAATAGAAAGTTCAACTTAAAGTTTTAAACTTTGCTTATAAAATAGCTCGG